TATGGCATAATAATATGGCAGGATATAGCAATGGCAGACCAGATTAATCATGCACATACATTTAGTTTCAAAACTAATGATTTAAACTTATTAGTAACAACTGAGAGATGGTGCGCATACCATGGCAATAAATCGCCCAATGAACTTGAAGTACTTAAGGTGATCCGGGTTGATGTAAGAGGCAGGGTTGATCTGAAGACAGTAGTTGTCCTTGCCAGCATACTCAAACAAACAGTACATTGGATTCAGCACCTCATGAGACAGCAAGAAGAACCATTCCCTGAAAATAAGCACAGGTGGCCAAACTGGTTGAGTGGGGTAGTTCTTTTTAAACTAGATTTTAATGACAAAATCATGAGGTTTTTACTGTTTGTGTTGTTATTTTAGCAACAGGGTGGTGCAGCTTTTACTTTGAGATTACCTGGCCACACCTCCATAGTCCAAGCCTTCCTCACCAGGGAAAATTATCCAAAGTCTACGCCTAAGATCTTGTGGGTGGAAACTCATGATCTAAGAATGAATTAATTACACATCTCAAGCACTGAAAAGACAATGTTATTAAATATAGAAATGTGGTGAGAAGACAGTACAACCAATTAAAACAATTACCTGCTGAAATGAATCCTCAAACAAAGTTTTGCGTGAAACTGTAATTTTAATGTGCTGAGGCATCGACAGTTGCTAAGGAGAAACAAAACATGCAAACAATGTAAATAATTGATTTTAAAAACTCTGTCCACTAGCAAAATCATTTACACTTTACTTTGCATTTACGTAATTAAAAACAAGAAGAACATAACAGCATATGTAGTAAAACAGTATGATATGCTGAAAGCACGTACCTGACACCAGAATCTGAAGTATTGCACTTTGGCTTTGAAGTCCCTGACATAAGTTATCTGTGGCCCATTCTCACTACAAAAAAGACCACATTAAATTATTGTCAAATAAAAGTATCAAAATACATTTTGATAACAAGTGCTTATATTCATCTCTGGACATTCTGAGCATCCTGTTTGTTTTCTTTAGCAACACCCAGGCTTTGTGGTCATGATCACTTGAGATTATAAGGCTCACTTGATTTTACACCAATCACTGATTTAAATATATTCAGGTGTGCACTAATCAATATTCTCGACATTTGCAATTTAGTGTGGAAAGAGTTAGATAAGCAAACATATACACATTTTGTAATATTAATGAGACACACATGTCCCATTTAAATTGAACTCTGGTCATTTCCCCCCCCCTCCCTTTCATGATGCTTGTTCATGCAAATGTAAGCACTGTAACACACCCAGGTACGGACCAGAACAACAGAACAGAGACCATTGGAGTAGGTCTCAGTCAAACTCTCGAGCTGTTTGCTTATGTTGAGAATGACCTCAATTATAATTATAAATACATAAATAAAAACAACCAAAGACTTTTTTGATTCACAGGCTACAGAAGCTTTTAACATGCAGTTGTGTCTGTCTCCATTAAATGAATCTGATCCCCCTCGTGTTCAGGCTACTGCTTAAAAGTACAGCTGCTAGCACAAGATACCAAAACTTACAGTGAGGATTTCCCTGTGCGAGGGTCAATGTAGGTTGTTGTTCGCCTATTGTGATCTACAAAGTAGGGAATACCATCCACAGTGAACCTCATCTCCCAACCCTCAGGCAGAGGCTTGTCATTCAGCAGCCTGGATAAAGTTAAGTAAGCACAGAGAAATGCAACCATTAAAAGAAATCCTTTTAAAAGAAACATAAAATGTATATTTT